CATCATTGTTGTTTGGCGGGCCCAGGCTGGGGATTCGAACCCGCCACCTTAGGTGTATGTGGCTGGCACCTTAGCCACTTGAGCCACAGGCACCGAGCCTTTCAGACAATGTTTTAATCAGCTTGAATTTTCCTGTAATGTCTTATAATATACACTCCATACAATCAAGGTGACACAGAGAACTTAGAAAATGTCTCCACATGGCACTGCTGGTACTACTAAACAAAAAAGCACCAACTACCTGAATGAAAGTTTCCATAAACTCTAAATTAATCCTTGCCTTTTGGGCCCTGGCTGCCAGTCTGACCTGGGCACTCAGGCTGCAGGCCCCATGCACTTCGGTGATGGCAGATTTTGAGGACATAGATGGGAAGTGGAAGATGGTCTGGGCCTGCTCTACAGGTCTTTAAGGACCCCGATCAAATGGGCCTGGAACGAATCCCTGGATGTGACTGAAAAATGCCATGACATTTCTGAAATTCTGAGGATTAGGAACTAACAGGAATTACAGGAAAGCCTTTGGCCAGGGACTCCTAATTTGATACCTTAACATCATGTAACAAACAGCCTTGTGAACAGAGCTCCACCCCAGGCCAGAGACCATAGAGAAGAGCTGATGAGGATACAGACAGAGTGGCCATGGAGAACTCACTCTCCCCAGGTGTCTCCTATGCTGACCACAAACTCTGGCATAGAGTGAGTACAGCTGATTGGCTAAACTAAAAGGTCATTCTTCTGTAAGGGGCAAATTGTGTCGAATGACCATAGTTCTGCTCTGCTCTGTGGAAGGCCCCTCAGCCAGGAGCAGAGAAGACTACTACCTTTGATGACTTGACAGACTATGAGGGTGGGGAGGCTGACTCCAGACTTCGCCTGCCTTTCCTCCTCTCCTACAAAACAACTGCCCTGCTACCCACAGAATTCACAAGAAGGGTATAAAAGTATATTCCTCACCAGATAGAGTAAGCACAAACTTGTAGCAGAATGCTGATTTACTTGAGAGTCACACGCCTGCACACAGGCACTGTGCTGTATACTTTACATTGAATATCTCAGAGACTTACGAGGCAACAGCTGCAGGATGGCTGTGGGGCCAAGGCTCCGTGGCTGGTAAGGACCTGCACATGCACCGCACAAGCTCAACGCCAGAGGCCCTGTCACTGACATTGACTAAAATTTCCACCAAACCCTCATTTAGACTCATTCTAAAGAACCCACTGAAGGCCAAAAGCTAAAAAAAGAAAAACGCAGTTTGCTAAGAAGTGCCCAATTAAGACTCAAATTTCAGTGTCTGGAAAGAGGAATCAGAAATAGGCTCCCAGCCTAGTCCTGGGATGAGGAGCTGTACCCATGAAGGCACATTTGTCCCTCGGTTGGTGTTTATGACAGGCCAACTGTGCAGCAGGCACTGAGGGAGGCCCTGCTACACACAGGACACACACATCAGCAGGAATGCAGGCCCAATGTGCTGCCAGAATGGCCCTAAAGTGACAGCTGCTACACAAGAGAACATTTAAAACCAAGTGAGAAAGAAATGGGAAGGGCAGAAGGCAAGCTCTGTGAAAAACATCAAACCTGATTTTTCCAGCTCTTCTTAAATTAAACTTGTTCTAAAGTGAGTCTGGGTTGTGACCAACACGGACCCCACCTACCCACATGTGCAACCTGCTCCAGTCAGATCCTGGAGCAGTATTCTTCCTATTCCCTCATGCACCAACCTCATCTGTCCGTCAGCCCTGCCCAATCTACATCTGCCAGCCCTGCCTTAAGCAGCCCTCCCCGGAGGATAGTAAACAGCTCCTGACCAGTGACCCTGCCTCTGGTGACCATAGTCTATTCTGAGTGGAGCAGCTAGAATGATGGGAACACGTCCAGTCCACCCATTGGCACAACATGGCTTCCTGCTCTGCACACATGCTGGCCACACGTGCCAGCCACACGAGACTGTGCCCTGCCCTACAAAAGCTTCAGGCCCCAGCCTGCATCTGCAGCTCCTCCCTCCTCTGCTCAGCACAGCTGGTGCTACCATCTCAGCACAGCCCAGTTATAGTTTGAAAGGTGTTTCCTGGCTACTCTCTATCCCATTATTTCACATCATACATCTGCAGCACTCACCACAAACTGAAATGCTCTGGCTGTACTATTTCTGCCACGTTTACTGTCTGTCATACCCACTAGAAGGGAGAAGCCTCTCACACCCTGTTTACCATTCTGTCTCTCACAGGAGCTGAGTCAGTACCCAAGTAACATATCCTCAGCACATTTCAATATTTACTTTTGTGATTAAAAATCCTTGGGGCCACATATTAAACCAACTGGTATGAAACATTAAAACTTCATTAACAGGCTAATGATGAACATTAATGCACTATTTCAATACCATTAACCTTTCTTATTAATTTGTTCAACAAACATTTACTTGGTTCTTGAACTTCTCTCTGCTACATCTACAAAGATGAAAATATAATTCTGTCAGGGAAGTGGAAAGATGAAACAAGAGAGTAGTTTATGTGAGGGGAAATCAACAAAAAAGAAGATAAATTAGAAACAGTCTGTCATGTCCGCGAGTCTTGATGGGTATTTCTGGCCCTGAGCAGCAACTGAAAGGGGAGAGACTCTGCCCGTCAGTTTTTGGGAAATTGCTACAAAGGCTGGATTCAATCAGGTTCTGTCCTATGCCTGGGTTTACAAGCTCCATGAGTTTGCTTGGCTTGCTCAGGGGACTTGAAATTTTCTTTGAGCAGGAGGATAATTTCACACCTGAACAGCCTCACTGCTGTGGGCCCCAGAGGCTCTCTGCAAAGAGTATGGTGCTCCTTCCTGGACATGTACAGAGTGCTTATCTGTCTTTCCCACTGCTCACTCTGAAGCACCACAACTTAAAACAAAATGACCATAACTAAAAAATCAGGTGCTCGCCATCAACAAATCTTCAGAGATATTTCCCCAAGCTGCTACTTTGCCATTCCGTTGTCAAAATTGGAAAATAATCCAAATTTCTGCCAAATCTGTAACAAGTTTCAATTTTTATCATAAAAAGAAATAAATCATACTCTATAAATTAGCGATTCTCAACCTGTGGGTCGCGACCCACGGGAACTGTGTTAAAGGGCCATGGCATTAGGAAGGTTGAGAACCACTGCTATAAATAAATATCTCAATAAAAAAAGAGATGAGCAAAACAGACCAATGAGTTCTCTCGTTTTTGCCTCTATCTCTCCCAGGAGAGTTTCAGGGTTGGCAATGGCCTTCTCTTCCTCCACACAATAAGTTTCTAAAAACTTCTTATATTCTGGATCTGTAAATTTAAGAAAATAAGAAGAAAATAAACATCATCTTCTCTAATGACAGCAGAAGAATTATATTTGACTTAACCTGGTAGGTCATAACTGACCATTTAGAAAGAACTTACCATCTTCGATGCTCCCGGTCTTGGCATCTTTTTTCTTAGGCTTCTTTTTGGCTATCTTCTGGAACGGAGCAAACTCTACCACAGCAGGATATTCCAGACCTTTAACAGGAAACATAATCCAAACCATTTTAAAATCTATTACATTCACTTCAGAAAATTATGATCTAGCTTACTTAAAGATTAGGAATAATGACGATTATGTTTTACTGCTGCTTAAACTATAATTTAATCATATTTTCCAGCACCTATAACCTCAGCATGTCAAACTCAAGATTTAAACAAAATATGAACTGGTGACAGGGAGAAGTCATCATGTGGTGGTGGTGGAACTAAATATATTCAAAAATCCATGTAACTGTTCACTTTTAAAGGGCAAATTTTACCATATGCAATTTATACCTCAATAAACCTGACCTTTCCACCCCCTACTAAATTATCATTGGGATACCTTTAAATAATCAGGTTTAAACTTTTTGATTTTAAGTGGTTCTCAATCTGTTAAATAAGCTAAAAAAATTACTTTGCTTAGAAGAGATCCATAGCTAAAAGCAGGCTTCAAAGGGGATATACAACATTCTAGGTAAGATTTGCTTCACATAAAAAAGTTGAGAATGGAAATCACTGGAAATTGATTTTGTAGTCATGGCGGGGAGGGACAAACATACAGAGAAATATCCACTAAGAGAACCTGCTATGTGCTTTATGAACAAATGGAATACTTCTACCTCAGTACCAGACCCACTGAGTAACCACTTTTAAACTTCTAAGTTATGGTCGGGTAACCATAACAGTATAAATCTCACTTATCTGGAAGACATTTTTGTGTCAACTTCAACTATGCAGAATAAAGTCAAGATTCAAGAGAAAAGCAAGACACTGAACTGCAGGAAAAATGTCCACTCACTGCTGCATCCCCAATGCCTGGTATGTGACAGGCACCTACTGGGTGGCCAACAACACACTCTCTGATTTCAAAACTTATTACAAAGCTACAGTAATTAAACAGCATGGTACTGGCATAAAGATAGACACATATACCAATGGAATAGAATAAATAACATAGAAGACCCTTATAATATGGTCAAATTATTTTCCACAAAGATACCAGAAGCATTCACTGGGGAAAAGGCAGTGATTTCACAGTGATGGGAAAACTAGGTATCTACATGCAAAAAACTGAAACTGAACCCTTCCCTAATAGCATACACAAAAAATTAACTCTAAACAAATCAAATGTAAGCATAAGACTCAGAACTATAAAACACTTAGAAAAAACCATAGAAGAAAACCTCCATAATATTGGGTGTGGCAATGATTTCTTAGCTATGATATCAAAAGCACAAGTAATTGAAGTAAATATAAACAGAACTACATCAAAATTAAAAACTTCTAACAAGAAGTGGCCAGTAATTAAAATACACAATCAAAAGAGCGAAAAGGCAACCTATGTAACTGGTGGAAATATTCGCAAGTCATATATCCAATTTAGGGGTTAATATCCAGAATGTACAGAGAACTCCTACCATTCAACAAACAACCCAACTAAAAAATGGGCAAATGACTTGAATAGATATTTCTCCAAAGATGGTATGAAAATGGCCAACAAGCACATGAAAAGATGCTCGACATCAAAAGTCACTAGCAAAATGCAAATCTTAAACCACAACGAGATATCACTTAAAACCCACTAAATTGGCTATAGTGAGGATGTGGAGTGCTTGGAACCCTTATGTACTCTGGCAGGAACATGAAATGGTGCCACTGATGTGGAAATCAGTATAGTAATAGATTTTCTTATACTTATTTTGTCAGTACTTTTAAAAAGTTTAAAAAAAAAGCAATAGAATACATTACTGGATAAATCAGCACAAATGTCTAATACAGCGGTTCTCAACCTGTGCATCACGACCCCTTTTGTCCATTTGTAACAACGTGGCAATTAGGAAGGCTGAGAACCACTGGTGTAATAGTTCAAGAAATAAACTTGATTTCACTCATAGGAAATGTCTTGGCCCAGGACATAGTCATTCTTTATCCTTTCTACTTTGTTACCCCTGAGTGGAGAAAAAAATATTTCAGTACTAGGCATAGGGTGGAGGGTGAAAAAGTTCGCTAGCAATGAGAAGAGAGGGCAGAAAACAATGCATACAGCTGTGAGGTACACAAATTGACAACAGTGGAAACAACAGTAAAGAGAACAGTGGGAGGGCTAAAATAGCAAACTAGAGATATCTCTACACCAGCCACTCTTGGTGAGATTGGGGCAAGCAGACTCCAGCCACTTCTTGTTAGATTGTCCCACCCAAAAACATCATACCAGGGGCACAGTGAGACAGTGGGGCACTCCAGGAGCCAAGGACGAGGTTAGGAGCAGAGGAAGACTGGCACAGAAGACATGTACCTAGGTATATACAGAAGCCAGCTGGTCTTCGGTGGAGGGGTGAAGACAGGGAAGACCAGTCCTGCTGCTTTTTTGGAGTTGGGAGCTTTGACAGAGCACCCTCAGGAGGACCTGAGTGAACTTAAATGGTGCCGAGCTTTGAGACCAGCAGAACACCACCATTGTGGGCGGGCCACAAGAGAGGAACAGTTCCCAGAGTCCCAGCGCGCAGCTGGCTCTGGTGCGGCTGCTAAACTCAGGGAGCCACCCCTGGGAAGAGTCGGGTGGGTCCCACACTCCTGGGAAAGCCCCACTGTGACCAAAGGCACTAGTTGGAAGGTCCAGGTACTTTCCAAGATGCCTGGCATGAGTGACCACAATCTGACTGAGGTCAAATAAATCAGGAAGATAGGACCAGGCTCCATGGCAACAGATAGTGGCTTCCTGTCCCCGTCTTATACAGCAGAAGCAGCAGGTGTGTTTTGTGTCTCCTAACCCCAGAAGGCATCCAAATGGGGGTAAGAGAGGGCAAACTCTCACTCTTTGCAGATGATATGATCTTATACTTAGAAAACCCCAGAGACTCAATCATAAGACTTTTGGAAATGATCAACAAATACAACAACATCTCAGAGTAGGCCAGGCGCAGTGGCTAATGCCTGTAATCCTAGCACTGTGGGAGGCTAAGGCAGGTAGACTGACTGACCTTAGGAGTTCGAGACCAGCATGAGCAAGAGTGAGACCCAGTCTCTAAAAACTAGCCTGGTGTCATAAGGAGTACCTCTAGTCCCAGCAACTTGGGAGGCTGAGGAGGATCACCTGAGCCCAAGAGTTTGAGGTTGCTGTGAGCTAGGATAATGTCACTCTACCCAAAGTGAGACTCTATCTCAAAAAAAAAAAAAGAAAAAAGTCTCAGGGTATAAATTTTTGTACTGTTGTGGCCTTTGTATACATCACAACAGTCAAGTTGAAAAGCAAAGTAAGGACACAATACCCTTCACAGTAGGTAGCTTCAGAGAAAATGAAATACCTCAGAATATACCTAACAAGAAAAAGTTCGCTAGCAATGAGAAGAGAGGGCAGAGGTAGCTTCAGAGAAAATGAAATACCTCAGAATTTGTGTACCTCACAGCTGTATGCATTGTTTTCTGCCCTCTCTTCTCATTGCTAGCGAACTTTTTCTTTGTAAAAGATCTTTACAAAGACAATGATGAAACCCTAAGGAAAGAAACAGAAGAGGACATTTACAAATGGAAGAACATACCATGATCTTGTCTGGGAAGAATCAGCATTGTTAAAATGTCTGTACTGGCTCGGCGCCTGTGGCTCAAGTGGCTAAGGC